GGGGGGGAAGGAAAATGACTGATTCCGGGAACCCAAGAGGCAAGCGAATTTTGGGAATGATGAGGGCAACAAATGTATAGATGTGCTCTACACAATTGATCTATGTATTGTGATGAATTTTATAAGCCCCAATAAATTGAGGGAAAAAAAAAAAAGAGTGGGCTTGGCAAGCCTCCTGAAGGGTGTCAGGGATCCCAAGAGGTCCTGAGCCTGCACTTTGACCACTAGCCCCAGGTGAGCCTCAGAGTGCCAGAGCAGGCCAGTGATTGCCATGGTGTCTGGTGCCCTCGGGAGTCTGGGTGAGCCCAGAGGAGTGATCCTAGGCCAGGCACGCTCAGGCAACTCAGGTTTCTAAACCCCTAAGACAAGGAAGGAGGAGGGTCCCTGATGGTGTGACAGCTAAGAGCATGACTGCCTACTGAAAGGCTGGTGGTTTGACCCTGCCTGTGGCTCCCTGGCTCCCAGGGAGCTGAGTCTCATGATCTGCAACCCCCTGGGGCAGCTTCCTTCTGTCACACGGGGTCACGAGGAGTTGGAATCGACTTGGTGGCACACGAGCCCAGCATCAGCAGGGTGACCCTTACTCAGAGCTCCTCCTGGTGCTGGCTTTCTAGGATTTCCACATGCGAAGTGATGTGGAAATCTTGCTCCATTCCTGGTGAGCGCTGATGGTTACCCAGATGTGTGCCATCAGGGCATTGCTGGGCGTCTGTCTGTGGGCGCACGTTTCAGCCGAGGACCTTCTCAGGCTATTTTCTCCGGCTGCAGCAATGCTGAGGTGTGGAGTACAGAGTGCAGTCCACAGAAAGGACTCTGATCCATGCAGGCAGGTGCCCACTTCTGTGTTGTTTTACAGCTTCCCGGAAATCATTGCGTCGAGAACTAGATGCATTTGAGATTTCATTCTCTACTGCAAATCATTATTTTTTTTTGTCTGCATTTTGAAGTTTGAATGATTCAGGCGTAAATGATCCTAACTGGATCTCTCCACAGAAAGGGACAATTTTCATCTTATGTGTGAAAATTAATTTTGTTCACCCCAAATACATGGTAATAATATTCTTCACAAAGTTCAGAAAGGTGTAATTGTGGCTTATCCAAATAAAACAAGTTCTTGTGAGGAGACAAAAATGGGGGGTAGATAACCCAATTCATGCTTTTATTAAGCCTGTTGATTCGCTCTCTGAATATTAAGTATCTGCAGGTTCTGTGGATGCAAATAAGGCATGAGAATTGACCTCTGTGCCCATATCAGGAATAAAAGCAAACTAATAGAGGGGATGAATGCCAGTAAACGTTGCCAATGGTTTTTATGGGAACATGCAGAACTGTGTTTGAAATACTGACATGGTTTGCATTGTGGCACTAAGGCCACATCACCTTCCTTTCTCAACTGGTAGCCTTCCCCACCCACCTCCACCCCTTGGGACCATGAACTTGATAAGATGGTGCATGAATGATGCTAGGTTCCTTTTTGCTGCCATCATACAAAATCTGAGAGTGCGTCTTCAATTAAAGGGGAAAAACTGGTTCTCCTGGGTTTTTGTCCGTTGCAGATGAATTTGCACAAATAATTTATAGGTAGGGATATCTATAAAGTCTGACTAGCCAGTTGTGATAATTTTATGTAAATGAACTTCAAATTAGGTTCACCTTTAGTCAGTGTGTATGTGTGTTTTAAAGCACTTAGCCCCACAACATTGAATATAGGTAAAACTTTTTATCTACAAAATTGTAATTCTTTGCAATCCCGAGGGAAACTATAGGCTTGGAATTGAGACTAGTTGGCCCCTCTTGCTGAGATGTCCTACTGTATCCTGTTGACATTTCTATTAAGCTTTGCAATGACTTAAGACTTCAGTTACATGTTTCATACAGGTACCATTAACCCTCCCCCAAATGTATGGTTACTTTTTAGGGAAGAATGTTTTCTTCAAGTCTGACTTCAGTCTTCAATGTTTAATCTGCCAAGGGTTGTGCAAATTCAAGGTGTGATGATTCTGTTACTGTCTATAAAGCAAGAGAGAGACCCTAAAATTATGACTGTTGTGACCACCACGTTCCTCTTTAGTTCTGGGAAGGTGCCTTCATTTGGTGGATGCGAGTAGTCCCAGGTGACTTGCCAAAAGACCTTGGCCACTTAGAGGTGTTAGCATGGCGATAAAGAATGGATTGATGGAATAAAAATAGACTTTTGAAAAGGGTTGATAAAAATCAATAAAGGCTAAAACCCTATGCCTATAGAGCAGATGATTTCTAGATGATGGGTTTTTAAGTTTCTCTGAGAATCCCCCATTCTCAAGAGTAGTGAAGCTGAGCAGAATTTCTCTCTTTTGTTTTCACCAGGTGTTCCCTGCACGTACAAAAAAGAGCCTGTTCCTATATCTAATGGAAACAAAATATGGACCCTGAAATTCTCTTATAATATTCCAAACAAGACACCACTTGTCCTCCTCCATGGTTTTGGAGGAGGGCTTGGACTCTGGGCGCTAAATTTTGAGGATCTTTCTACCAATCGGCCTGTTTATGCATTTGACCTGCTGGGCTTTGGACGAAGTAGTAGACCCCGGTTTGACAGTGATGCAGAAGAAGTGGAGAACCAGTTTGTAGAATCCATTGAAGAGTGGAGATATGCCCTAGGATTGGACAAGTTAATCTTGCTTGGACACAACCTGGGTGGGTTCTTGGCTGCTGCTTACGCACTAAAGTATCCATCAAGGTAAGTGATGGAGTGGTATCACATACTGGTGTCTAATTTAACCGTGGTGGCTATTTGAACCTGGGCCTTGCAAGTGGAGAACTGATTTGTAGAATCCATTGAAGAGTGGAGATGTGCCTTAGGATTGGACAGATTGATCTTGCTCAGATGCAAGATGAGTGGTGAGCTTTTGGCTGTTGCTTCTTCACTGAAGTGTATCTGAACCTTAAAAGACAATCCCATAAAGGATCCGGTAGACCAAATGGCCAAAACTTAGTGGCTGAATAATGTTGCTGAATTTTCCTATTACAGAACAAGTACTTTGGTAGAGCCCTGGAGAAAGAAATGACTTTTTGCTAAATTTAGAATGTGTAAACTTTAAACCTCAAATTTTTAAAAAATTCCTATAGATTGTTATGATCTTCAAACTTGTGGATTCAGCAGGCTTTACCTAACTTTTTCTGAGTTCTAGTAAGCTATAAGGTTAAGCAAGGTAAGGCAACTAGATGGCCCAGGTTTTAGGCCTCTCGTTGATAACTTAGAGCAAATTACTTAACTCCTAAGTTTTGTAGAAAAAGTATCTACCCTGTCGTGAGGTGCTGTCAAGTTGCTGTAACTCACAATGACCCTGTGTACCGCAGAGCAAAGCACTAGCCAGTAACGGGCTGTCTTCACAATGGTGGCTGTGTTTTGAGTCCATTGTTGCAATCCCTGTGTCAAGATATCCTAGTGAGGGTCTTTCTCTTTTGCATTCACCCTCTACTAAGCCTGATGTCCTTCAGGGACTGGTCCATCTTGAGAGCATATCCAGAGTATGTGAGTCTTCGCCTCCTTGTTTCTCAGGAGCATTTTGGGTATACATCCCAGACAAATATGCACATTCTTTTAGCTGTTCCTGGTACAGGCAGTATTCTCTGTCAACACCACAACTCAAAGACAGCACTTCATTGTGTCTTCCTTATTCATTGTCCAACTTTCCCGTGCTGGGAAAATACCAGTCAGGCACACTTTACTCCCTCAAAGTGACATCTTTTCTTCTTCTTCTTGAAACAAAACAACAGCAACAAAACACTTTAAAAGAAGTCTTTTGTAACATTTGCCAAAGCAATGTTGTTTGATTTCTTCAATACTGCTTCCATGGGTGTTAATTGTCGATCCCAATAAAAGAAACCCAATCTTTTCTCCATTTATCATAATACTGCTTATTGGCTCAGATGAGACTTTCTACTCCTGTAGAGAATTGCAGTTTTGGAAACCCACAGGGGCAGGTCTACCCTGTCCTCTGAGCCTTGGTGGTGTAGTGGTCATACTCCTTGGGCTGCTGATCACAAAGTCAGCAGTTTGAAACCACCAGCTGCTCCACGGGAAAAAGATGAGGCTTTCTACTGTTGTAAATATTTACAGTCTTGGAAATCCACAGGAGTTGTGCTACCCTGTGCTGTAGGGCTATGAGTCAGAATCAACTTGATGACTGTGAGTTAGGTTGATGTGTAATCCATACTAAATGCTGCAGTCTTTGATTTTCATCAGTAAGCATTGCAAGTCCTCGTCACTGTCAACAGGCAAGGTTATATCATCTGCATATTGGAGGTTGTTAGATACAACCCAAACTCTTACTTTTCCTGATTTTTTTAAATCATTCTATTGGGGGCTCCTACAGCTCTTATTGCAAAACATACATGCATCCATTGTGTCAAGCACATTTTGTACATTTGTTGCCATCATTTTCAAAACATTTTCTTTCTACTTGAGCCCTTGGTATCAACTCATTTTCTCCCTCATGACCCCTTGATAATTTATAAACTATTATTTTTCCATGTCTTACACTGATCGATGCCTCCCTTTACCTACTTTTCTGTTGTCCATCCCCAAGGGAGGGGGTTATATGTAGATCATTGTGATCAGTTCCCCCTTCCTCCCCCCACCTTCCCCTCCTGGGATCGCTACTCTCCTTTGAAAAGATACAACCCAAATTTCTACTTGTCCTGATTTTAAACCTTGTGGAATCCTCTTGTTCTGTGTAGAGGTTCTGTGTGAGCACAATTAGTTTACTCATAATTTATTGACCCATCCAATACCTTTGCATAGTCAATAAAACACAGATAAGTATATTTCTGATAGTCTCTTCTTTCAGCCAAGATCCACCTGCAATCAGCAATAATATTCTTGTTCCACTTCCTCTTCTGAATGCAGTTAACATTTCTAGCATTTCCCTGTCAAATGTGCTGCTGTGGAACCCTTTTTTCATTATCTTCAGCACAATTTGTGTGTGAGATGGATGACATTGTCTGAAAATGTACTGGGATTCTGCTGGACCACCTTTCTTTAGTTTGGGCACAGATAGAGATGTCTTACCATCAGTTGGCCAGGTCGCTTTCTTCCACATTTATTGGCCCAGACATGTGGATATTTTCAGTGTTGCATCTATTTGTTGAAGCATCTTGATTTGTATTCTGTTAATACTTGGAGCTCTGTTTTGCCAATGCCTTCGGTGTAGCTTGGATATCTTCCTTCAATACCATTGGTCCATGATCATATGCTGTATCTTGAAGTGGTTGAACGGTGACTAGTTCTTCTTTATGGTTTCGCTGTATATTCCTTCCATTTTCTTTTGATGCTTCCTTGATCATTTGCTATTCCCCTCTCCCCCCTATAGAATCCTTCGAAACTTTGACTTAAGCTTTGGGTTTTTCCTTTGGGTCGTGCACTTTCAGAAATACTGTGAGCATGTTCTTCTCTTTGGGTTTTCGAACTCCAAGGTTTGCCCATTTCCAGCTACCCTTTGAAGTATCTTTTTAGCTCTTATTTCATCATTTCTTCCACTCACTTTAGCAATTTGTGTTAGTCTGGGTAGACTAGAGAAACCAATTCATAAGCATGTATATGTATATAAGAGAGAGTTTTATATAAAGGGTAATTGTACATTAGAGAACATTCCAGCCCAGTCTAGATCAAGTCCATAAGTACGATATTAGCCCATATATCCGACAGCAATCTACAAAGTCCTCTTTAGACTCATGAAACACATGCAATGATGCCAAATGTAGAAGATCACAGGCCAGTGGGTAGAAAGTCTTTGGTGGTAGAAGCATCTCAGCTCTGGCAGGGGTCTCCACGTGGCCATTCCAGTTCCCAGGGCTGCATCAGGGTAGGTCCATGTGGTATCTCCTCAGGGATGCCTCGGAGGAAGTCAGCCTTGTCAGTAGAGAGTTTCCAGGGGGATTAACAGAGAGAGAGAGAGACAGACAGACAGACACACTCCTGCCTCCAAGGAGGAAGTACCAGATTTCCCAGAATTCTCAGGAGAAGGCCATGCCCACACACAAGTCTCATTGGCTATCTCCCGATTGACAGCCTAGACTCCACCCCTACATTCTTAATCCTTAAATTGACACCAGATTAGGTGACTACCGCACAATTCTTTGCTCAAGAGCAAGAGTCTCTTCTGACATCCAATCTGGTCTTTTCTTCCTGGCGTAGTGGTTACAAGTTGGGATGCTAACAGCAAGGTTAGCAGTTTGAAAACACTAGTTTCTCCAAAGGGAAATATGAGCTTTTCTACTCTTCTGAAGAGTGTAGTCTCAGAAGCCCACAGGGAGGGGCATTTCTACCCTGTTCTATAGGCTCACCAAGAGTAAGAATCGACTCAGTGGCAGTGAGTTTGTTTTGTTCTTTGATGCCTAATATCTGATCCCTTCGGCACCTTGCGGTCACACAGACTGATGTGCTTCTTCCATGTGGAATTTGTTGCTTCCCAGGTAGATGGCCGCTTGTTTACCTTCAAGCCTTTAAGACACCAGATGCTATACCTTTTGATAGCCGGGCACCATCAGCTTTCTTCACCATATTTGCTTATTCACACATTTGTCTTCAGGAATCTTGTCGGGAAGGTGAAATATTCTTATTAACAATGAATGTGATGCCAGTCCTCTTCAATTTGTCATTCCTGCCATAGTAGATCATAGAATTATCTGATTCAGAATGGCCAACCCCAGTCCAGGAATTCAGGAAATACCAGTTGAGATATTTCAACTGTGGATGCATTGTCAGATGCATTGCACTTGTGTAGGCCAAGAAATGTGGAAGAGCAGGCTAACCAACTATAGTAATCCATGGTTGTGCCCATTCCAAAGAAAACTTACATCCAAGCCTAATACAGGTGGCTGGAAAACATTGATGGAAAAATCCCAGTCTTTTTATGTGTTTTTTCTACAAACTTTTTGAAGCCACCTCATACAGAAGAAAAGCTCATTTTTACTTTGCTCATGGCTTTGCAAGCACATTTTTTGTATTGTTAGCACATTTAACCATGGGATTTATTTTTCTATTCAGAATTGCAGCCAACCTTGACCTTGAGGTCTTTGAGCCTTTGGGTGAAGGTCATTGTCATTGCGTGGGCACACCTCCTTGGGTGGGCACATCTCCTAGAATGTGGCAAGCAGAGTAGCAGCCCTGTGTAGCTGACTTTTTCTTCCTCTGGGACAGCCTGCCTTTTCTCTGCCATGCATTATGTAAACTTAAGTTTTTGCCCCTGGTTGTCTTTGTATATGAGATGGTCTTGTCAACTGGTTTACCTCCCCTGACATCAAGAACCCACATTTCTTTCTCCTACTTGGCTTTTTGAGCTCGGATGGCGTAGTGGTTACTTGTTGGGCTGCTAACGCAAGGTCATCCATTCGAACCCACTAGCCACTCCACGGGAGAAAGATGAAAAGCGTACTGTCTCAGAAATCCACAGGAGTGTTTTACCCTGCCCTATGGCATCACTGGGAGTCAGATTGACTTGATGGGGGTGAGGCTTTTTGTTGAGTTGGCTTCTGGGGGTTACTTTGTTTTATTGGATCCTTATGGCATGCTCTCGGTGAGAAATCCCTAGCTGTGTTTCTGAGGAAAGAAAGAGAAGGAAGAAGGTAGATTCTGATCCACAGCCACAGGGGTGTCTGTGGGAGTTGGGCTTCCTTGTTATTGTTAACTATGGTCCGATGGCCCCTGGCTCATGGTGACTCCATACCTGCTGGGAC